CCCCCCCCCCCCCCCCCCCACCCCACAAAGAGTGTTAGGGCGGACGTACGCTGACGTCATAACCAAAATTTCTCGGATACATAGTTTACGCACACACGTAGAGCTCCGCTATTATGTGGTGTCTGCGGTTTTGTTGATCTTGTTCAAGTGGTTGTTAAGTAGGGTTATTTGTGATATTTCATTGTATTAAGTTGCCTCTTTGGTTTTATTTGTTGATGTTGTTAATGTCAATGTTAGGTAGGGTAGTTTGTGATATATCACCTCTTGGCGTTTACCTATGAAACACTTGCCAATCACTACATGTAATGTTCTTAGTTCTATACGTATTGGTGGTTTCCATACGATCCGTTATGTTCTTTGGTCGCTAGCTTTTTTTGGAAATGGATGATATTCCCAACAACATTAATGGCGATTGTTAATGAGACAGGTGTTTCAGCAAATGTCACGAGAAACAAGACTAACACCCGTTTAACGAATCAACTGATTCATGTCATTACACTTAAAAAAAATCCCCCATTTCTGCTTGTTACAACCCTTAAAAGAAAAAAAAAGAAATGGTAGAATTAACGATGCATAACCTCACTGTACTATGTGTAAATCGTAAGGCAATACTAGTGTAACACACTTTTTGGCGACGCCCCAAATTTATCTTCTTTAATCATAAACTGAAAGAATGAGAAAGTTTGGCCTTTTTTCAGTGTGAGTAACAGTTGAGCGTGGATGGACGAAACGATTTCGCAATGCCAGTTTGCCCCTCCTCGGGACGGAAAAAAGTTACTGGAGCTGGCCTCTTGAGAGAATGGTCCTCTTAAGTGGCCAGTAGAGATGTAAGGGTTAAATGACTGCTTACTGGGGCTTCTCCAACTACAAATGAACATTGGAAATGCCAAAAAAATGTTTGTTACTGTTCGACTATACTATTGTTCTCACAATGCGTGCTGTAATTCAGTCACAAGCATAAAATTCACTGAGTGGTGTTTTGAAGTGCAACCTGATGTGTAGAGAAAAAGAAACAAACTCTGAAACTGATATAAATTCATTGCATGGTTATTGTCTGTTGAAACAAAAGAAATGCGCTATAATGACTTGTGGGAATTGTGCTTGTTTTTAAGTTTGAAACAATATCAACAAAGCCCTATAAACCGAGGCTATGAATAATATCAGAAACTCATAAGGGGTTGAAACTTGTAACTCGTGTTCAATGCTCGTGAATATTCACTTTTACCATATTTGGAAACCTTAGTGGCAGATAGCCATTTTAAACAAATGGCCGCCAGGCGAGCACCATGTAGATGTTTTAAGACAAGAGTTCTGCATTTCAAGGTTAAAAATACACCGTTAAAAGACAAAAAATGGAAAGAGAAAGTTGGCCTACTGAGAACAGCGAAACGTAGAGTATGACGAATATCTATTTAATAATAATAATATGAATCCATAAA